TTTTAAGGGAGCGAGCAGCAAGCCTGTCGCTGAACCCTGAGCGATCGACGAGTAGAAAGGGTCGTTCTGCGTCGTCCTAATGAATCAGCGACTTGTTTGACATTCAGAATCGGGTTGGTTCTACGAACGGTTCATTTGTCTTTTGGTGATTTAGGAGCTTATGAGGTCTGTTGAGCCTGATGGCTGTCGGGTTGCTCCGGTAGCATTTGTAAACGCCACATTTAAGTAGACAGAGACGCTATTCAGAAAGCAATTGGATCTAGCAGACGAATGTATGGTTCAATGGGTTGGATAGAGTAAAGGTCTCGTGCTTACCATCCAATGTCAGGGATCAGATATTGGATTAGGATGAGTTGGACTAAGATTTTTTGATTATGAGGATAATTCGACTAACTTTTTTGACCGTTAGTGTTGCTTCATGGCAACAGATACCTTCGATTAATACCGAATTTGCGCCAATCAATATATAGAAACGTAATGATCGATTAGAGATTTAATAATGAATTTCAAATTAACAGAACAAAAAAAAAATAAAAACGGAGTGTATCTGTCGTTCAAGCTATTACTTCGTCGATACATTAGTAGCCCTTTCGAATAATTAACATATCTGACTCATCAATATGCCCACATTACAACGGCTTGTTGATCACTTTCATTAGTGTCAAACTTCCAAGGCATTCACTCATCAACTGGCTTGCAAAAGGTCGCAGACCCAGCAATAGAAAAGTAAGCCATCATCACAGAAGCCAGTGCAATATATTTTAGGCAAGGCAGCTACAGCCGTGACAAAGGTTGCAGTCGGATGTCCCACGACCCAGAATCGTGTAAATCTTTTTTACACGAATAAAATCATTCGTCATAAAACACGGAAACCAATCGCGAACCGTCTCAAGTAAGTAACATTAGTGATCTCTGCGCGTCTAGATATGCAGAAAGCTGCAAGGGTAGCCTGCAAGTACGCTGTCGGCGACAATCAAGCTAATAAGAATGACACACTCGAAGAGCTGACTTATCTCATTGAACTATATTTCTTGTGACAGTATTCATTATATTGTAATGTACGCAGGTAAAAAGCTAGCACTTCCCTAAACCTGATATGTCGAACGAGAGTTCTGGTGGACAGATAGGCGTATTAATCTTTCCCCGCTGTTTGTAGTGCCACCTTGACTCGCATATCTACAGCCATTATTAGTACCAAAGTTCTGCTCCTATTTCTGTTTCGGGTTTTCGATCATGGTACGTTTTTAACCATGGAGAGACGCCAGCGAGATATCGCCCTTTACAGCTTCTTTTGCTTAACATTCGTGGAAAACGTAGTATTCCAATTTTAGCCTACTAGTTCCTCGGGGTTCCTCGGCCCGCTGTTCGGCACCATTAGAGCCGAAAAAACATTTGCCTGATCACAGCGTAGTCTCGTGTTGATGCTGCTGGTATTGCTTCTATGGGACTACGGTGACTGCACAGGGGGTCGAGGATCTTGTTTCTTACCTCGCCACAATGGACTCACTCGCACCAAGCGCAGGTCGGCCTGGACGATAAATTTCGTTGGCAGTAAGAAGGCAGAGAAATACGACGGGAGCCTGATTTGATCTGATTCAGCATCCTACTTTCGCTGGTCCTGTCACACTCTGGCAGGATGCTACAGTCTGAGTAGGCAGTTGTTCGCTTCGGCAGCAAATGAAAACGTCCTGAGGCGTGAATCATGTAAAAGTCGTACATAATGCGTAAACTTTAGAGAATGGACCGAACATCATACGATACTAGCGTTGATAATGACTGCTGCTAATCTCATCTATCTGTCTTTCTTTACTATCTTTAAAGAAGAGAGGCAAAATTAGATCTTATACAGATGACATTCCCATGATCTGAGCCAATTACGTCAACACAGTACGCAGTGCTCGATTTATTATCGGCATTCCTATACTATATTAAATGTATCAGATATATACAAAAAAAAAAGCAGCGAGGTCATGTAGGCATATAATAACACTAATTAATAACACGACATATAATACATATGCTACAACGAATTTCACCTTTCAAGCACCTTGAAATTTTCTCCTATATATTATGTTTCCCTTGGAAGTTTCACTTCCTTTTTTACAAAATACATATTTTTCAGTAAACAAACTATGTAGAAACATCTGCATTATCTTCCATTTCCACCGAATAGAAGTCCAATCGTCACGCAGCCTGGATGACACGTTCTACGTGCGGGCAAAAGCTTTGCTTAATAGCATGTAGCTGGCGACCATTGTAAAGGGTGTACGTTTATCATTTTAGTAGCGGCCTGGACGGCCTTGACCTCCTATAGGTTCGCTCCGACACCTGTTCCTTCCCCACAGCCGGTAGAACTCTTTTCCATAGCGGCTCTCACATTTATTCGTCGCTTACCGACATAGATGGCAGGATAAAACAATCAACTCACTCATACTGTCGTCTATCATAAAGTGTCTGTGTTTAAATCGAACAAACGCAGGGAATGATACTAGTAAACGAACTACAAGCTGTTCGTCATCGGCTTAACATTGTTCATGCATTTTACTAAAATCGACCTGAAACATCATTGAAGTACGATAGTGAGGATACTGGTAGAAACGTTAAAGCAAATTACGTAATCCTGTGTTAATGTCTCTAAGATTTCTATGGTAGGCCACATAATATAGCAGAAAAACAGGGAGGGGACGTATTTGACAATCCGTACTGCTGTCGATAACAAAATGCTGAGATGGTAACCAACAATGAATCTTCGGCGACTGCCTAGCATAGTTAGTAATGCGTTTCATTGAACAGCGTACATAAAGCAGCTGCTTCTTATTTCCACTATCTTTAAGCTACGATATTCTACAGAAATCCGGTTGGAGGGCCCTATGTCTACACGGCAAGCGATACCAGAAACTTCGTACTTAGTAACAGAAAATAGTTCAATCAAACAATCATTGACAACCGGGTTTTCACTTCAATTCCCAATTTGGCACTGAAGTGACGGAGGGCCTCTCACGACTGAAATGGATTCTGCCGGTGCGTTTTTTGCCCCCTTAGTTATAATGTTCAACAGTTCACAGAGTTCGATATGCAATAGGCGACCTACCTAACAAAACGTAAAACGAGTCTTAGAGTATAAAATATACCAATGAGGGATGCTTTATTTGATCTGTCCTGTCTGACCACAGGGGAATCTTCTGCGCAGAAATCTCGGCTTAACAAAGCGTCATCAAAAGCTACGATACTGCCTAGACGTTCGTTGTTCACTACATGTTGCTAAATCTTTTGTCAACCTTCGCTACCAAGACATTGATTCCTTCTAGTAGACTAAGCAAGAAGCAAGGACCGGTACAGCTAGCCAAAGAAGTTAAATTTTTTGAACCGGCAGTTCTCATCGAAGTTCACTTCATTTCATTGCATTCTGATCGTACACGGCCCTTTCTCTACTCGGCATTGTATTAGAATAAGCCAGGGAGATAAGTCAGAGCGATACTGTCGCCGAAAAGAGCGATAGGGGGTCCGTCACTTTCCCACCGTGTCCACTCTTCTTATCGGCTCAATAGTCTTCACGACATTCTTGAAAAACGCCATTCTCTGTTTAGAGGTTGTACTTTATCGTCTGTATCAAAGTATGCCTATGAGGCTCGTCTAGTATTTTTTTTCACTTTTCATATAATAGCTAGAAAATTAGACATTGCCCAGAAGCATAAGAAACTTCGTTTCAGGCCACGGATTCGGCCTCTGCCCAATCCCTCATAACCAAAGCGAGATATGAGATCAGAGAGGATCGGCACCGAGTGTAAGCAGCCATAGCTATTAAATCGTCTGCTTAGACAACAATAACTGGAATCGCCCTGACTATTGTGGCCTCTACCAGAAAGGCCTTTTTTCTCCTGTCCGTCGCGATGAACTGGCGAGGCAACTGAGAGAGAACACACATCTCTGAACACATTGCTCAGAAAATTGATCTTTGAGGTTGGACTGACCCAAAAATCTCTTCAGATGTAGTAATCGGTACTCGCCAAAATAAATGCGCGTTCCTCTGTAATTTAATCAAAAAATTTTTACAGTTAGCATAACGAAAGCCGAAGCATGAACGGAACTGTGTTGTTCTGTTCCTGTTAGTCTTTCTCCTTTTTAGCACAGCTGATGTAATGGAAAACGTCACGAAAAACCCAGAAAAAAATAGTAGTCATAAAATGCATGCTCTAGTTAACCCGATTTAAAAATGATCAAAACTAAGCGGACTTTCGTGTTTTTGACATGTCAGGTGTAGTCATGTTGTAAACGAAGGAGTTCCACAATAACGGGTTAGATGCTGACTGGCGTTAACAGCTGGCATCATTCGCCGATCCCACAACACTGTCCCTTAAGTCTGCAAGCGACTTGCAGCACTTGTCTCTAAAAACTGCCCCCACCTCACAGATCTGCCGTCATAGAAATAGTGGGAGCAAGATTAAAGTATATTTACACCCTCAGCGATCGGCACTCTTGGTATGCGCTTTCGGGTCCTGACTGCCCCCCGAATGTAGTTCGGAGGATGACAAAGTTTGTCCGCAAAAATGTATCGTTGTCTTCAGATAAAGAACTCATTTATTTGCACTACCAGCGTCTCACATCACTGCGCGTACCCGAGGCCATCGGAGCATATATCGGCTTACTATTTTTATTGTTACGGATAGCGCGTACGTAAACATTATGCATATAATGTAACTCGTATGCCGTGAAAAATGCTGATAGATATATATATATATATATAATAAGCCCAATCGGATTTTAGGTTCCACTTAATTGTTTCAGACTACAGCACCTTGTGAACTTGTACTTCACTGTGCTAAAAATCCGCTGTCCTAACCTAAGATACCTAGGTGATAAAGCTGTGCTGTGTCTAATAAAAGTTAAATTAATATGGAATTTCTATTGCTGTTTAAGAGATGTTACGTTGCGGAAAATTTATCGCGTTCACAGATTTGTACGAGTGAGACCGGTAAGCATTTAGGCCGTCGATGACTTACCCACCCTTCACTGTTATGTCAGAAAAAGCCGGAACCGGAAGTCTGTAATAAAACACATAATAGGAAAACAGGTTAGAATAGATCCGGGTTCAAATCGTTGGGCCATATTCCCTTCAAACGAGACTGCCTATACGAATCTTACAGAAAGGTAAATTCAAATGTTCATCACAATACGCTATAGGTAGTAAGCCGTTTCATTTCTAAGGCAGTACCTAACTAAGCTAGGTTAATCGTAATATCTTTGTCACATCCTGTGTTCCTTTTAATATTAAAAACCTTGTCCCTGCCCTGTTATAACTTCATGTCCATGTAAAATTAACCATAAGATCTGAACCAATCCGCATTTTGTTTAACCAAACCCACTAAAAATATATGCATCACAATATATCGTTCCGTAGCAACCGTACTCCCACCATGATCAATAGAGTTGAGAGTTATTAAACTTGTACATAGATATTTTCACGCAGCTCCTGCTACCACTAGGCGGTTCGTTCTAACTGCAGGTACCTAAGAATTTCCCGTAAATTACCATTCTAGATAACATTATGCCAGAATATATGAATGCGATCTACAAACCACGGCAAGATCTATGGTAAAGAGAAATTTCTCAGTAAAAATAATTCGATCAAAAAGAGTATCGAACGGTACGATTGGACGGTTATGCATAAATACGAAGTTCTCGGTCGCGCCGCAATAGGCTTACCTGGCGCTTCTATGGTATGTTCAGTAAGTAGGCCCCCTTACAAATCTACATTTACTTCGAGATCTTGAACGTTGCTTACGTGATCTGACCTGTTTTAGCGGTCCTTACTGGCGTAAATTAAACAATTCGTCTCTAGGCTATCGATTTCACCACAACGTTATTCGACGGTATCTCTTGATTTGTATTCTTTTGGACCCGTTAAGCAACCGCAGATCAGTGAAATGCTGTTTGAGATAACGTGCTCAGCACTAGCACAATGAAATGAACTATTCCACCATATTAGGAATGTACAAACGTCCCCTATGATGGTCTCGAAGTCTAGTTTCAACCTTGGCCCGACTCGAACCTGCCACGTTGTCAAGTATCAAGAATCCTTTATCAAGAATCGATGCGTGTTTCTTATAATCGCTACTTATCAGTCAAACATTTGGTTATTTGTCACACGCTAATGACTAACTATAGCGTCATGTTTCTCCTAATAATAATAAGATACCTGGACAGTCCTTCCCTGTCTGTAGTCAACCAGATTTCACTATGTCGAAAGGAGTGCGAGTTTTGTACTACCTACTATTCGCTTACAGTATCCCCATGGATCTTGCTTATTTAGGTTGAGTACCACATCTTTCCCACGCCGAGTCTTTGCAAGGACTCGTTCACGCGCGTCCGCGCGCGCGCGCGCGTCCACAAAATCGCATTGCTTCGAGCATACGAAGAAAGTACCCCTGAGTGGAGTTCGGATCTCCTTCTAATTACAAGCACCGGCACCTTAAAAAAACATTTCAACGTTTGATCGTCGAATTACACCTAGCACATGTTACCGCCTAATATATTGGACTATGAAATTTATCCAGTTGTTTTATTACAGCACAAGCGTAGCCTACATAATTTTATCGTTCAGCACCATTTGGTCAGAATGGGGTTTGACGCATCTAGGTAAAATAGCCCTTTATCTAGTTGGAACAAATGGATACCAGCGAGGTAGACCGCTAAAAATGATGATCATCCTCAAGAAGGTGATAGCTTGCTCCCCGTTGCCTGTTTACTTCCGTGTTAACTAATTATTATATAATGCGCAAAAGTGCTATATTCTAATGGAGATTTTACAAATGCCAATATTCTGAGAGCGAAGCGGTTAGACTTCGCCCTAAGCATCTTTCTTTTTCTGGCTTCAAGTTGGGACGCGGGCGCTGGGCGAACCGGCTGTTCACACAGGCTGCTCCCTCTCCCCCGGCTTGAGGCCTCTTAGGAGTATGAAATTGAGGAGCGAAAGGGAGACTCCGCGCATCGGGCGGCTCAGATCCTACCCCAACAGCACAGCTTGAGGCTAGGAAACAGACAGCTGTAACAGAAACTAACATTCGCAAACTGAAAACCTAGCAAAGGAACCAAGCCTCGAGTCCAGCTCAAAGAGGGAGCGTCGTCAGCTGCCTACTCCAGCTACTCAACCCGGCACCTCCAACAACCCAATCCCATCCTAGAACCTCTGCCGAGCTAAGAACGGCGTCGACGAACGCGCGTGGCCCCGCTCAACTCCGGGTTGCTCCCTCATATGTATGCGTCTCCTCTCTTCTAGCGGCCGGCAAGCGAGCGCTATACTCTGGTAGCCCCAGTATAGAATTCCCGTGCTAAAGAAGTCTAACGGAGCGCCATATGTTCTCGCACGCCTATGCGAGCTCGGCGGCGGCGGCGGCGGCGTTAGTGGCAATGGTAGTAGCACTACTGCCAGGGTGAGTGTCCTGGTAGTCCTGCAAGTTGTACCATAGCACAACAGCCATCTCCATCATAGAACTCTACCGCTTTATACCACCATACCTACAGGCATGTGTAGCTTAAGCCAACTGTAGCTTGTCGTGGCTAATGCTATTTATACGCCCTGGTTGATCGGGCGATCTGTCGGTCGGTTCGTCGATAAAGAGCGTGCTCCGCTGCCTGCTCCTGTTTGTCCATGAGCTTGCCTCGTTCATGAAGGATGAGGTGATCCCGAGCTCTGGGGATCTTCAACCCCCTGTTTAGTGTCCTGAATTGCTGTGGCAATAACCAATATTGCTACTACTACTCCTGGTTGTGTCCTGGCAGACTCCCTTGTCGATTTCCTAGTCTAACAATTCCCAATTCCCATTCCGGCCAAATTCGTTCCCAGCGACGGGCGCGTGTTACGCGTATAGTTCGACTTGGGGACACGCTAAGCTGCTAAAACTTCAAAGAAACATTTGTATCCCACAGGGACACGCGACCAACGTTAGCCAACAAGACCCTACATAGATAACTACCCGTTTCAGGCGACGCTTTTACTGTTGCTGGTGGTGATATTAGTTTACGGTTTCAAAGTTAATCAGGCTAAAAAACGCGCACCCCATAAAACACAGCAGGCCAAGGAGTCGTCGTGGTGCCGAGAACAGTTGCCTTTACTTGGCAACTGTCGCGGCTCCGGCAATTGCACATCTAACTATACCAATACATAGAGACATAATAAAAAAAAAAATAAAATCTGCTAACAAAGAGACATCTATGGGGATTACGTATGATGATCATCTATCCGTAACGCAAAGTAGAAAGACCTGGTAGAAAGCTGAACAAATCGTCAAGTCCTCATTTCCTCATTCGTTATCAGGTCTGACGCTAATATCTTTCAGTGTATGCTGAGTCTTCGGTTAGTCTTCATCGTTTGATACTGCGCCAAAACTAACCTATCTAATACGGCTTGTTTATAGTAATCAGACATTTTCCATAAAGAGTTTCGCTAGGCGGAAGTTTTTCTACCAGCTAATTACTTGTCCGTTTTAGAGCATGTTAACAGTTGCGAATATTATATGTTGTGGCCTTGTTGTTCACCTATCGGCTGGTTAACAAACCCTGCAGAATCGCTGTGGTTTTTTTTGTTGTTTTGGGTAAATTCAAACGTATTCTTCAAGTTTATCTGCAATACTGGTTCCTATTCCCCTTTTAACGGGTATAATCCGACCCGGCGGTAAGGGTTGTTCTGCTCAACTTCCACACCGATGAGCGAATGACGTACGATCGACAACACTGAAACAAAAACGCTAGACGCAACTGCTCAGTTATAATGAATGCCAACGACGACGACGACGACGATGATGACAACGACAAAATAACCCAATCGATTTCCGATGCGTACTCGATGAATAAACAAACAACAAAACAAACTAGTATGAAACGGAAGAAAAAACAGCGGGCAAAAAATACCCATTCTAATATATTGGGTACTCCAAAGAGGCTCGTTGGTGCCGGAAAGTAGTACGTTCATCTAACGTCTGGGCTGGCTGTCGCGTTCAATTGTGACACCCCATAGAGAACGGAATTTTTACAGGGATAACGATGCCTTGCCGCGGATGGGGGGCCTGATAAGCTACGTGCTTCTATCCACGCAAATGAAGCGAGTCGGAATTGCACCCTGATAATAAACATTTATTTGGTGTTCCCGATAGCTAATGTTGATATTTTTTGTAAGTGAAAATTGGTCTGCGTGGAACGTTTTTTGTCCGCATACGTGACCTCTATTTCTACTCGACAAGAACTAGATAGAAACAAGGAAAAAAAACAACTCATATTTATGAAATGGGGTTAATTCATCATCTAATTATTATCATTACTGTCAGCTGCTTTTTTGTGGCTTCGTTTGAACGATTACCTCCGTGAATGTTTGTTACATTACATTATAGTAACAACTATTAGATTACTGCCAATGAATATACAACACTCGAATACGAGTGTGTTTCCTGTTCACGTCATTTTTCTAAAGCGGTCTGCCCAGTTTAGAGCGACTAAAACCCACATGGGGATTTTTTTTGTAGACGTCGTTCATTTTCATATATTTTCGCTTTCCAAAACATTTGCACCGGATAATAATCTTCGACGCATCTAACCATATCCGTTTCGCTTTTGGCTCCCGATTCCACCACAAAAGAGCGCGCTTTTCAAAGTGATTAAGGAACGAACGGTGGTCCAGGTTCGAATCTTGGCGTAGACATATCATTTTCGCACTAAAAATCAACCGGTTTGTGTTGTATCGACGCATTTGCCTCACGCATCGTACAATGCCACACATACTTTATGATAACAAATAGTAAACAGATGGCTGTTTCCCTTTTGCTAAATTGTTGCCAATTTCTAGCAGTATATATATATATATGTAGTCACACCATGTCTGCACAAAGCCAGCCTTAATCAGCCAGAACAGAATACGCGCAGGCAATCACAAGCGGCCAGCATGCTTAGATAATCACACGCACAGTCAAAAAACACCAGGATGAAAGTCTCAGAAAGATCTATGTTTTTAAGTCGGAACAATTGCACAAATCTGATCCCGTAGAACCTGTTA